ACAAGATAGTGCACCTCCATCAGAGGGTGGTGGAGGATGATCTCTTAAAACATTTTCCATATCCTTGGCACTCCCACTGCTCACAATACGTGCCACAAGACCCTCTAATATCTCACCCTGCACCTGAACATGGTCCTTTGAGCCTGCTTATTTTCATCCACAAACTTGTTCATTTAATGAAGTTCATCAAGTTGACTCCCTTAAAATACTAATATGAACTCTCCAAAAAGCAAAAGGGCCAACAAAAAAAAGGATTACCTGGGACCGATATATCAGCTACTTCATCAAGAGCACTACACACTGAGGTTGCTATCCCTTCTTCACAGAGTGCATCAAACGCGGCGAAAAAAGAGGTCACTGATTTCCTTTATCAAGATGTTAACAAAATACACGCAACCACGGTTAAAATTATTCTTCCTCACAACAAGCTGTTTATATAAATTCTTTGGACAGCATGGAACCAAACATAAGGACCACAAAATCTCTAAAGTTTGAGACTTCATTGAGTTAGACCAGTAATTGCATCAACCAGATTCTATCGGCACATTCTTACTATAATTAGGTTGAGCAAGCTAACAGGAACATGTATACTTCAAGCTGTCCAGCCAAGATAAGCTCTAATAGCATTCCAAACTCTTTTTCACTACAATTCTATTTAAAACAACAAGGGCCCAATGTAAAACGACAATTAAGGGCAACATCACAAAAGAAGATACAGCAATGASCAGGAAGTGGTTAAATTACCTTGTGGAAAAGAGCCAAACGTGATTTGTAGGTAGACGCCAGTTCCGGCAAAATGCAATTATTTCGAAAGTTGCATAGAACTTCGGCTTACCATGACSTAACTCGGTAACAGCCGTCACTACCACTGCAAGATGTGAATCAACGTTTCTTTTTAACTAAACAACTTTAGCAGGCTTATCTGACTTGCATAAATAAGGCACATACACTTTGAAAAGCATCGACTCTAGAACATTTAAAAAGAAAATACTTCACCATAATCATCCAGTGGGCGTTGACCATGATCTCCAAGAACAGCTGTTACCAGTTCCATAGATATGCACATGCGATTTTTCTGGGAGAAAATGACATCTCATGAGCTATCCTTTTCTGGCAATTGATTAAGCCTCGAGCATTTGAGAATATTGAATGTTTAAGGTTCTATCCATGGACATACCTCAAGAAAGTGATTAAATTCTGCCTCCTTCTTTTTAGCCCGAGTTCCCCAAGCCTCTCTGAACATCCGTGAAAGAACAAAAACACCAACCGCAGTATAACTGCAAATGAAACATTGGGTTAGCATATCAGAAAACCTTTGTCGCTATCTCACTTTGCAAGCACCAGAAAGACCACATAACAGCATAAGAAACGAAAGAAAAAATAAGTAGTAAAATGCATTTGCTTCTTAAATATGTTTTCAAAATCTGTCTATAGTATAGCYTATATATGGTGCGAAATCTTTAATCCATAACCGTGACACCAATACCATCAACAATCAATAAGAATTCATGTTGGACGTGACTAATTCATAAAGCTAAAATGAAGAAGTAATTTATGCTCTAAGTTAAATGAGTCACTGGGGGATTTCCCTTTGTCTAAGATTCTTAGTGAAAAGCTCATCATGAATCAAGAAAGGACTATACAAAGTTAAGGAAAATCAGAAGCTAGGATTAGATGAACTTACATATTACCAAAACTGTTCTTTGCATATGCTCCACCTGTGTGACCGGCATACATAAAAAGAGAGCCTGAATGCTTAAGAGATACCTGTAAAAGTTTCATTACAAAATGTCCATACACTGTTAGAACTTCAGAATGTCAATATAGGCATTCACAGATAGAYTGTATATACTTAATTGATACCTCCAGCGTTGCCAACCCTTTAGATACCATTTCAATCATTCTTGTTCGTATCTGCCAAAAGTAAGACAAATGCAACATGATATCAAGCAAACTAACAATTAGTGCTACAAACGACCAGCTCTTTAGGGAACTATAAAGTTTACCTCTTGGTCAGTCTTCTCGTTRTCAAACTTTGGATAGAAAGTGGCTCTGACCTGGGCATGACAATAAGTCGAATTGTCCACCGTAAACTTTTCCAACAAATTACCTCCGAATATTTTGCTCAGATTGAGACCAGCTTTTTGGGGTGTTACATCTCCAGATACACCTGTCTGTGAGACAGKCGATGTTTTACCAACTTGTGGTTCCGAAGATGATCCACTAATGGTTCCGTATGACTTAGGCTTCCATACAAGATTTTGGACACTMTGGTTGCTTYAAGATTGATTTGGTAAGCCTGAAACATTAGTGTTACTTTCCTCAAGACTCAACCCTCCAAATTGATTGTTAACTGCTTKTGCAACAAGAGATGCAGAACGATKARMGGATTCAGATGGAGCATCCATCTTCGGTTTTACTTGCCAATRTTGCTCAGCTTGAGCTCTCTTTTTCTGCCAACACAGAGCAAAAAACAATCAAGTTTCCTGTATATACATATCACGTCGTAACCCAAAAGCAATAAACAAGTCTCCAAATCAAGACTTTTGAAGAGAATACGTCCGTTTTCAAGAGAATCAAAAATCCATAGTCACAAAACTAACGTTATTATTCGCAGCAGATTATCAACAAAGCAATCAAAACCCAGAAGAATGTGTAGATTTTCAATAAATTTGTCAAATTGCTAAATCCCGATATAAACCCAGAATCCAAAATTTATGGCAAAATCAGAAAACCCCACCWGCTTCTTAGGCATATCGGAGGGAGAAAAACTAATTGGGGAGTGAAAACAGAGAGAACGAGCTAAGGTAACGAAAGGAGAAGATGATCGGAGAAGAGAWGAGTTTCGACGAGTAGAAGAAAGATGGATTCTTAGAGAAAACGCAAATAGTGTTGTTCTGTGTGGAACTGACGACATTCAACACGTGGTTTCTCCTGGTGCYAACCACGTAATATCCACGAGACGACCGAGTTAAGCTCGACGTGCTTTGCTGAGTCACCAACGAGCTCTGAGGTTTATAAACCGGCGAGAGACGACGACGAAGTCTGTAGAAACTGCAAAAGTGTTATTATGGTGCGGGAAAGAGCACCGCAACAACTATAGTCCCTCTAATAAATGGGCCTGAGATGGCCCAATTAGTTTTTGGAATTCATTATTAGTCCAAAAAACCTAGTTTTTAACCAATCGTATCTAGACAAAGAGTTTGTTTGTATATGGAACACGCATAGGTGGAAAGACTGTTAAGCTACTTAAAAGGTGCCATAGATTTTGCTATTTAACTTTCCATTGYTAGAGTCTGCCGAGTTCCACCAGCTCAAACAGTTGAGTGAAATTCGAAGTGCTGCTAATAAATTTGCAAGCAAACAGCTGTGTGCAAAGGKTACTACACTATATGATACAGTATATCAAAACCTAATTGAGACCACTTGAAATCATCAGCTCGGGACTAAAAAACATCACCAACGTCAAATTTGCAACCACACATCATAAAATTCAAATAATTCGGAAGAGAGGTTCACCACGTATTCTTCAAATGCAAATCTAGCTCCCGAAACAAAAGGGTTAGTGTTGGTCAATAATCATTCAATTACACAAGTTTTACAGAGTCTAGAGAAGACTTGGGAAAAACATGAACTAAAAAAGGATGGAGAAAAGAAGACGTACAGACGCATGAAACTGACAAGCACCGTCTGGATTGTCGTCCTGGGTGAACATGGCATTGCAGCCAATACGTTGGCACTGAAGCTTCGTTGCAGCCGATTCGTTGCCACTCGGAAACACTTCATGGTTTGAGAAACCAAGCTCGCCGTCTTCCATTACTCAATAACTTCTAGATACAATACAATACAACTTCGCCGAATCAACTTCAAAACCTCCGGAATCAAACAAATCCCTAAATTCCACAACAATCCGAGCGATTCAGCAACAGAAGATACTCAATTTCTGCAAGATTCGAAAATCCGATCTGTGATTGAGAAGAAACCCATACCTTTGCAGCCTCTAGAGTTTCACGATACTGCGTCTTGTGAGTTTTCACACACGCATTTCGTCAAACACTTTGTGAACAGCAAAGCAAAAACTACTCGGATACCCAAAAACATACGAAACGTAGATTCACTTATGAAGAGCGAACCTGGGTAGAGAGAGGAAACGAAAGAGATCGAAGAATCTGCTTAGTCCGCCTAGATTCCAACCTGGAGCTCAAATATCAAACCTTTTCGCTTGGGAAATTTCTCTGTATTTTTTTTCCGGCGAAATCTTCGAGCAATACTGTAAAAGGTAAACTCCCTATCGTCCTCCAGCTATAGGATCGCCAATCAACGATTCCTCACCAGAGCCGTTTAGAGAAGACGCCCGTAGGACTTCGGCGGGTGAAAAAGAAAAATCATTTTTTTTTTAGTAAAAATATGGGCAACCCCTGAGGACTTAACACGTTAGGGGTAGGCATGGGCACAAGCCGAGTATTTGCTAATTTTCAAGTACTTGTGATTCGGCTTAGTTTGTTCAAGTAACAAAAATTTCGCTTGATACTTGACTCATTCGAATCAAGTACTTGCTCAATCAAGTACTCGTCCAAAATCATGTGACGTGCAAGTAACTTGACTCGGTTTGTTATTTGTCAAAATCATATACTTGCTACTTGAAAGTACTTGAAAATAAAAAGAATCTCCGTACAAATTACAAAACATTCAAGTTCAAATATCCTAAAATCACAAAACATTAAAGTTCCAAAAGATAATTTGTTCATACCTTCACGTATTAACAAATAATTATTAACAAATATCAAGTAATGTAACGTAAATAAGTATCAAGCCGAGTAAAGAGTCAAGTAGTAAAAAAAATTTGTTGGCTTGATACTTGGTTCGGACTTGCAAGTAATAGAATATGTTGACTTGTTACTCGACTTGACCGAGACAAATACTTGCTTTTTCAAGCCGAGTACGGGCCGAGTAGCGAGTACAAGCCGAGTAACGAGTATTTGTGTCCAGGTCTAGTTAGGGGTTCTTAGAGATTCTTAAGTTTCTCCATAGAGAATCCGTTCTCAG